ACACACGGGCAGAGCCCAACTTCATCTCCCGCACGCGATGCAATGTCGGACAGTGCGTCCGCGGTGCCGAGGGATGTACTCCCTAGTGATTCTGGATGAATCAACACTTCGAGAGTCCCTCGCTTGCTCTTCTATAAAGCCCGGACGCTCCATGACTTCAGTAGCAAAAATACCTGCCCCATAATCGACAACCACGTCCGGAGTTGAAAGCTGAAGAAGCGGTAGGAAAGGTGGGTCGTGTTCCAGCAGAAGGCGCTTGATAACCGTGTTTGAGGCATAAACGACGTCGTGGCCGTCGAATGTCCAGACATGTAGCGCACAAACCAATGCTTCAGGTGGCAGCGAAAAAACCTAAGTTTTGATAGTGTAGTGGTATCTCTCTTCCCATTGGTCGCTTGAGCGATTTCTTCAACGTGACATTCTCCCGGTTTATTCCGATTTCCTATGTTTCCCAGAACACAATGGCCAAGCTTTTCGATACAAGTATCGTTGGCAAACCGAAGATACAAATTGTGTTCATGGTTGTACCATTTTGGAAACTCCGTACCATCTTTTCTGGGACTGCCCTACGGCACAACGTTTATGGCGATTGTTTCTTTCACCATTTTCACGCCTATTTAATTTAGCGTTTGGTTGGCCCCAAGCTCTCTTCCTTCATAAAGTAACTGTCCCAACAGCCCGACAAGCTTCTTATGGCTTGCGCACGACTATTCGACTCTTCAATGTTGTCCGCTGTGTCATTCTGCGGACACTTTGGCTCAACCGCAACAAGGCAATTTTTGATGCCCCTCTGTTACAGTTCACAGGAGTCTACCGTCAAGTTTTAGTTATGGTTCATCTCCACTTTCAGCTTCTGATCAAGACTCACAGAAGAATGACAATGCACGACCCAACTTTCAGCATTTAGCGCACAATGTATGTAACAAGCAGTACATAAAAAATTCTATGATTTCGATATCAGCTTTTGTAAAGCTACATTATGTCACAAAAAAGAGATAATGTGCCCATTTGAGTGACCCCTTCTTCATTTTACTATTTCACTTTGATCGCATAATCGATATGGGGGACGAACCCGAATCACAAGACGCGCTAGCCTCGTGCGCATACACTTTACCTCCAACCCTTCAGTTGAACCTAACGATAATGAATTTCTTTACTATTAAAGGTTCATGAGCATTACAGGTGCTAACTCTGGCACCGCGCTGCAGTTCCTTGAGGTCTGGAGCAATATTCAGCTCTAAACAAATTTATGTGTTGCTTTACTTTCAAGTGTTTTGTGTCAAAATTTACGACGAAAGCTGACTAACTGGAATCTAGACGAAGCGGTACGGTAATTTTCTAGTCATTTAGCAGCTTCTGCGCTTACGCTCTTTCTGCTGACCTTACCCGGACAGGTAAATTTGTTCATGGAGAGCGGAAGGCAAAACTCCAGCTCAGCTTTTATAGCTCCACACCAAACTGCAGCACAACCTAGCCCCGCTAGTCATCATCCGGTGCCAACAAGCTCAATGGATATCGATGCAGCCACCGCTGCAGCTATCGCAGCAGCTTATGGAGAAGAGTGCGTTTCAGCTGCTGCTAGTTGTGAATTTTAGCAAGAGTTTTACTAATTTATTTCTGCGGCAGTGACAATGCAGTGCGGGCGCCTGATCCATCAAAGCGCCAGCGTCTCGTGGATTCGGACATGGGTCTCAGTATGTTATCCGTACTTGCAGTGGCTTTATTTAACCAGATGGTGATATTGGCTGCTTTATTGATTGCAGTGCAGCCTATGCGGCACCTGCGCGACCAAAATCGCGACTTTGCGGCTGAGAGTATCGCGGCCATAACGGCCAGCAGTATTTCCACGGCTTTCGGCAGCCTTGGAGCAGTGGAATCAACGAATAATTTGAGCAATGCAGACGGTCATGTCAATGAGCACACGGGTCTGAACACGTTGTATCAACCGCCCACTAACATTATGTTTTTAGGAAGCTATGCAGAAGTGCGTTGTTTACTTCAACATATGAGGGGTTCAGTTGTCATGCTGTTTGTCTGTAGGCTCGAACAAATGCTAAATTTCAGGGAAAATGGCTTCTGGTTAACATTCAAGACGAAATTGTATTTGCAAGTCACATGTTGAACCGCGACACGTGGAGTGACGATGTCGTGCAAAATTTTGTGGCAAGTGGTTTCGTGTTCTGGCAAGTACGATACGTGTCTTAGTGCATTCTTTAATAGTTGAAACGGGACAGCTTGAAATTTGACAAAACATTGCTAATAGAACTATTGGACATGGGAGCATGGCAAAAAGTTTTGCAGCTTGTACCAGATTGATCGCGACTCGCTTCCGATCGTGATGATTATTGACCCACGGACAGGAGAAATTCAGCAGCGCTGGTCAGGCTTTTATGAGCCACAAGACATGACAGAAAAATGTACGGCAATGAATCGGATTATCTATAGATTGATTTGTATGACCAATGTTTTGTTTTGAGTAGTATCGGACTTTTGCTGCATGCACACAATTGATAAATCGATGATTGAGCAAAAAAAGGTATGAATGGGTTTTTAGTAGAGTGATTGATTCTTATGAACTTATGAACAAACTTGAAAAGGAGGCAAAACCCGACTTATTGGATGTGTCTGAAGATGATCAGCTGGCTGCAGCAATCGCCGCATCGATACAAGACAATGACAATGGCGAGGTAAAGCAAGCTGGAGATCCTATGGAGTTCGAGGAAAAGGCTCAACAATCTCTTGTGGCACTGACCCCAGAACCTGACGGTATGTGCGAGAATTGATGCGCTTGAAGTGGCTCATGTTTTAAGACGTGCGGCTCTTGCCATTTCCGTAGCTTGTGCCCCTGATGTAACACGTATTCAGATTCGCGTGCCTGATGGCTCTCGGCTGACGCGACGCTTTTTCAAGACGGACTCGCTAGCCATGGTCTGGACGTTTGTGAAGGATCAAATACCAGAAGCCCGATTACGTGCGTTTGAACTACGCACTGCTTTCCCACCCGGCGCGGTGGCCTACAACGACATGTTATCCATTGAAGAAGGCAAGCTCGAAAACGCGTCACTTATGGTCAAATGGCTGTGAAAAAGTTCTTAAATCTGGTCTATCAAGCTGCAATATTGACCGACTTGAGAATTACGACTGTTTTTTCATTTGTTTTTTTGAGCTGACAGCTCCCAAACAAAAAAGAATACGCAGTTACCAATTATCTGAACCAACGAATGCGTCTCATAGTTTAACCTAGTAATCCTAGCTCGAGTCACAAATCGCATAACTTAGCTCAACGTTTCAATATTGGGAGTTCAGGCTACATACGACATGAGATTAGTCTTATACTCGACTTTGAAGAACTATAAGCAGCCCTTACGACCCTTTGATAATAAGCAGATGACCAATTGCCTTAATCAAGTATGTTGTACAGCTTCAATAAAGAAACACGATCGAAATACTCAGATCAATAGATCATCAAGACTATAAAGAAGTGATCTATTTGATTCAAACACGCAGCACTCTCATCTTTCATAAGCAAATCAATGAAATCAGTTGCAATTGTGTCAGTATTATTACACGCTCATGACGGTAAGAACGTCGGTCTTGGCTATCATCAATTTCATAATCGGGAATGAGAGAAGACATTTAAGATGCCGATTTCTCGGTTCACAGCCAGCCAAGTATCGTCAATATTCCCGACACGTCAGACACGTACGTCGTTGTATAGTACCAAATTGACACTGATAATACCAAGAGTGCATTATTCATAGTATCACAAGATTGTAAGGAACAGTAAGATTTCATGTTTGAATTGAGAAAAGCTTTGTTCAGTGATGCATCATGTTAAGAATTCTCACCGCCGAGTTGGTCACGTCACGCCTCTTACCGGTTGATGAGGTATACGCGGGCTATCAGGAAGGCGCGTCCACTATAAAGCAAGAGTTGTCATCTTAAATAATGCTTCAAGTTTGCAAGGAAGAGTGTCCTGGACAATAAAACAGGCAGAACTTTCGCTTTAGGTAGTGTAAGGATTGCGACAACAATGCTAAAAAACAACACTATTAACTACCTTACAAAACCCCATGCACAATACTGCACACTTTAACTTTAATCAGATTTTGCCCATCAACATGACATCCACATTTGCTTAATGGACTGCAAGAATAAAGATTCAATACTTTCATAATTAGGGCAGCTTGAGGCTTCAAAAACAGTCACATGTGATCAGAATTTTGGGGGACATGCTCAAAGGACTGAGCTTCACAAATCGCGACAAATACTGGAATAGAGGAAATCAGTTTGTCTCGAATACTTCCTACTCTTTTGCAAGAAGAAGCTTTTTGCAAAGTCAAAAACAGAATTGCGCACTTGTCATCATAAACATTTACTGCACCTCGATGGCCGAGCGTAACCTATTGGTATATTTGTACTCTGTCCATCTAAGATACATTGCTGCCAACCGTCTGCCTCGAACAGAGCACCGGCATATCTACACTCAGGCTCTTTAAAAATTTGGGCGCCCTATATATATCTGATAAGGCTGATGCGCGCGCTCGCAGCTTAGCCCGGCATTCATGCGGCTGTCCTGTTCTATGCTTCATGTCATAGAACTTCGGCCGCATCACCTGATGCGATCAAATATTGCACAGCATAAAATTCTACTGTACTTTTGATGTAAGGGAGTCAGGTATGAATGTGATTTTCTAAATCAAATAGCAGGACAGGGTTGGTCGCCGTAACTTCAACGATTGCGTCGATCCAATAAAATATCTGACACTGACCTCTTTTTTCCACACTCAGCTGCGACCATCAAACGGGACGTTTGATTGATGTGGTGGACTGGTATGGTGAGCTGACAGATAAAATTTCATATTTTACGCGTACATATCGTAGCAGCAGATACAAATAGTTTTCTTCAACTTTTACATCAGATCCGTTGGGCGCGTTAATTTCTATAGGTAGTAGTACCACGTCTGCGTAATGATTTATATAAGATGAATCCTTCTGATGTGGTATAGTTGAAAAAATGCTGGTCCATTGTTGTTGTGCTTGCTACTTTGCCCACCCCATGGCAGACTTCTCAATGCTGATTGGTAAAAATCAGGACTACCTGATTCACGACGATCTTCTGACTTCAAAGTCATCACCATATTCGCTTTTGCGTGCTACAGATTGAGTGGGTAAGAAGCTAGGTCGCAGCGCAAAAGTAGCTTGTTAAAAGTGTCAAATTGCTGTTAAGTGTTAAGAACAAAGTTATGGGAGGAGCTGAATCGGTCGAAATGGACCAAGAGAAATTGACAGCCAGTGGAGACAAGAAGACAGTTGTTAAGAATGATCCGCATATCAAGAGAGTGACCGACAATGCAACAGATATGGTGACGAAAGCAGAGGATAGCAAAACGGAAATGACAGCGCTTGTCACTGATTTTGAGGCCTTGAGCGAAAAAAAGAGCAAACGCGCATTCGACGAACCCGAGACGGAGCCAAATAACCCCAGCAAAAAACTTGGAGATTTCAAGACGGAGGTGTTTCGAACAGTTGAGTCCGATGGATCTGTCATCATTAAGATGGAAAAGACTATCCCAAGTACGGCATTATTGCCTACTGGTCAGCCCTCTCCACCGGTTGAAATTGAGACAACACAAACGAAAACAGCTGATGGCAAAACGACGACTTCAATTACACCCGAAGCGATATTGCAAAATGACTTCGAGGGTTATTATGCATCTGAAGTTGAGACAAAGAGTAAAAATGCCAAGGAAACAACGGCAGGATCATGCGCCACTTTCAATGACAAGATGCGAACTGAGGTATTCCAGTCGCAGGAGACGGACGGCAGCATTGTGACGAAGACGGTAAAGACGACGATACGCAATTCGACGTCGGCTA